GGAGGCCCGGGACAATCAGCTAATCCAGGACATGAAAGTTATCCATCCTGGAAGTTGGCCTGAAGAGGAGTTAGACGTACAGTATGGGGACGTAGAGGTGCTACGTTTGTGCGAAGTGCTGAAAGTGGACAGAAGAGAGACTGTTCAGGGCTTTCGCGAATACAAGGAAACCAGGGCATCCCGTACACCTGCTGCCATGGAGCCTCTACTGAAAGCAGTCCGAACCATCGCTGTCTCCACTAGTGAGTGTGAGCGGGCATTCAGCTGCATGAACGATATCCTTACTGCAAAAAGGAATGCTCTCTCTGTCAGCCGACTGTCCAGCCTGGTTTTCATTAAATGTAATGGACCATCACTAGGACAGTTCAATCCGGAACAGTATGTGAGGTCCTGGCTGGCAAAGGGAAGGAGAAGTGCTGATGAAAGAGCCTGTCCAGCTCCAGCCCCTGATACTGATGTCCCCAAGGCCTTCTGGAGCCTTTTCTAACAATGTGAAGTATATTGCAAAGCAGCTCACCCAGTGAGAAGACTTTTGGCATAATGTGCCGATTTGTACAGATCCTGGAGATAGAAGGACTTCAGACCAACCAGGGAGTTATCTGATCAGCTTGGTGTTCAATGTAACTCTTTACCATGGCTCAGACTTTGTTACTTGCAGTTACAGTTTCTCATTTTAGATTGTGCAAATTTTGCATTTGTTTTTACATGTTCTTTGTTCATGCTCTTTATCATTTTTCTGAGTTGGAAAGTTAGATTGCATCATAGTTTACTTTATACATATTTGTATTCTTCAGTGGTGAAGTATATTGCAAAGCAGCTCAGCCATGTGAGAAGACTTTTGGCACTTTTTCGTTTTTCGTTTTCTGAGTTGGAAAGTTAGATTGCATTCAAAATGTACAGAAATACTTAATTTTGTTAAAGCTTTTTATAAAAAATGCTTCTGACCAGAGCTTTGTTTCCTTGTCATTAATGTTGAACACCACCAGAGGGGCTCTCACCTGAAAGGTCTCTGCTTCATGTGTCTTCAGCAGAAGATCTAGACTTTGATTGCTATATTTTCAGTTAATATTGACCTTACTGAGCTTTAGCCATATCCGCTGCCTATCATAAAAAATGTTAAGTACAGTGAACCTTTCTAAAATATACAGTAGTAAAGAGACAAACCCACCAGCATTATAGTAGCCAAATTCTTGTTTGTGGGCTGTATATATAAAATTGACTTGAAAAAGTTGCTGATTTTAGAGTACTGGCACCTTTTTCATTCCAATTCAAGCACTGATCATAATGTAATCCTCAAGCTAAGCTTAAACATATAAAACATTAGAAACATAGATTTAGATAATGCTATGAACAGACATGTTGACAGCTGTATCAACATATACTTGTTGTGATTCTTCTTCTCTTTAGCTCAGGCCCATGTGTGCTTGCACATGTTGGAACGTGTCGCTGTGATGGAAGAACGTCACGGTGCTAAGCCTCGGTGTGGGCGAACATAACAAAAGCCTCATTGTGTCTGTACCATAGGTCTGTACCTGTGTGTCTCACAGTGATAAAATAAAGACATCGCCATGTTTCCAGTCTAAATATTGTTAACCATGTGGTTAATGTGCTCCAAAAGCCCCCTCTCCTCCTGAGTCTGCAGGTTTTACGCACATCATCCAGATGTGACAGAGACAAAGACAAGACAGAAGGACATGCAGAAAAAGCATCAACACAAGCAGACAAAGTAGCAGAGATGTTTTCAAGGAGCAGGTTAACTGAGAAAAGCTAAACATAGAGTGTGTTAATCAGAGAGCATAATCTCACATACAGATGTCCTGATGCTGATGTTCAGGCCCCTGGCAGTTACTCGACACCCGTCACATGCTCAAACCTTACCCTTACAAGACAACGGACATCTCTGTACAACTCTGACTTCCTCCCCATTTCCCCTCCTCAAACCAAACCCCCCCCATCACATCCCGTCTGTCCGTCTGCCAGAGACTGTCTACGTGTTGTGTTCAAACTGCACGGCCACATTTAGACCAGTGGAATAAATGTGTTGTGTTTTCCTTCCACTTGCTCTCCCTGCTTCTCTAAGACCTCTTTATTTGCTGTCGCATAACAAGCCATGTTCTTGTTTTCTATCCGTGTGAGGGCGTAGTTGTGGATGTTACCGAATGGCAAAAAACTGTTGAGCAGTATTTTTTTGTGGTATTTTAAAGAATTCAAGTCTGTTGAGACCTTGTTTTGCTTTACGTACAGGGAGTCATTTTCATTTCTGTAACGGCTCATTTTAACGGCATCTGAGACACCATAACAAGCCTGGCATTTATACATTTGAAAAATACGTTTTTAGAAGAACTGATGAGACTGAATTAGGACAAAACTATGAAAATGTTGCATTTACGATAAAGAAAGACTCATCAGTCATCAGTTTAGACCTTGGTTAAAAATACAGATATCCAAAGCAGAAGTCATTCATTATTTTAGGCATCCTTCAGGTAACCGCCCCTGATTTTTTAACTCCAACGCACCACAAATACTTTTGGATAAAAAGCTAGTGAGAAAACATCTGTCATTTTGTATTCCCTAATGGGAAGTCTTATATTATTGTACCTCTCATATTCTAAATCTATTAGGCCCAATAAAGCAGGGACTGTGTTCGCACATCCTACAACAACAACGTTAAAACTGGCAGATATTTGACTGCAATTACCATCACTTCCACAAAAAAAAACTACAGTATATCAGAAAACTGTTTCCAACAGACAAAAACATATGACATCTTTATGGTGACTTAAGTTGAATATGGCAGCTGGAAATAGCACCCTGTATACTGTGGAAATGTTGTGATGACTGCTATTCCAGATAGAGAAAACTCACAGGATTTTACATTTCCTCTCCCCTCTTTCAGTTTTTTTTTTATTAGAGCAGTTAATACAGGCTGATCCAGCAGGGGACACAATGAAAAAGTGTTTGGAGTGGTGGAGCCTGGAAAACAAAAACCCTAAGCCTCATAAGTCAAGAGAAATGGAAAGGTTGTCAATACACCAAACCAGAAGGAAAAATAAAACAGTTTTATGTAACCAACTTCTCCACATAGTGCAGCACCTACGAAGGGAAATGAAACTGAGACTGAACTTGGGCACATTTGAGTCAGTGAGGCATGTGATGACTCCTTCGGTGAACTGGATTTTAAGTAATACTCTGAAATGCAAATTGCATGATAATCAGACTGATCACCTGGCAACATGACAAACCCTAACCCTAACCCTATAGGACATTCTACATTACCCTAAAATATTTACACTAGCATGTTATGTTGTTGGGTGTGAATGTATTTGTTTAGTTTCTCTTTTACAGTAAAGCTTAACTCTGCTTGTGTCAAAAATCATAAAAATACCTAAACATGTATTTATTTCTACTGTATGTCATTTTCAGCTAGAGTAAAAAAAGAGAAGTGAAAGTTTTATTTTGAAACTTCCCTTTTATGCCATTTTTCTCACCGAATTCTTTTTTTGCAAAACAGCCTAATTTAGCCAAGCGTTACACACATTAAAAGCATTGCCGTTTATTTGGAAACACATTTTTAGATCCATATGGATAGTGTCAATAATTTACTACTAAAAGTATCAGGATTGAAAACTCAGTGCAGTGTGTCTCATCATCTACATGTCCTGTCAAAATGTCTTTGAGCAACACCCAATCCCTCCCTTTAAGCTGATCAAATAGCATCAAAACATCTCATATAATGCTTTTAGACACCATGTGCAGCTCTATATCCAGGAAACTATTTTTGCTCCACACATGTGCTAGTACATCAAAAATATATTCTACCATGGCATAGGCACACAAGCAGATGGAAAATGAAACAGTTGTATTATTTCTATGTAACACAACCACTTCCTACCATGAGAGCTATTACTCACAAGCTGACAAGTTGACTATTTCAATTTGAACATTAGCCTGCACGAAGAAAAAAAGCAACGGAAATTGCATGAAAAATAATCTCTGCAGGGATCTTTTAATCCTCATATGATGTGGAAACTATTTATATAAACAGCTAGGTAATTAGCAGTCAATATCAAAAACACCATCAAGATAATTTCAAGCGAACTCTCTTGTATTTGCACCACAGCTAGAGTTTTCAACTGTCAGTTCTGCCCAAATTACTGTTGGCTCACTTATGTTAACTGCCCCGGTATCTATCAGGTCACACTTATTTTGAGTATGTCCAATGGGGACCACAAATGATGTGAGAAATTGTCTTGATAACTCAGTTTCCTCTGAGAGATATTTACACCAGGGAGAATACAAAGATAAATAAAAAGCCAGTTGTTTGTGCACACATCTGGTGTTTCCTGTATGTTTTACTGTTTATGCTACTGCATCTTTTACCAGCTGTCCTTATTCCCCAGTGTGCATGTGTGTTTTAAATATCTATTCCATAGACTTAAATTCCAGGCATCGCTCCGCCTGGGAAAATACCCCCACTAGTCCTTAGTGTTGCAGTCCATGTTTCCTTACAGTCTCCTGGAGTAGTGCATGTGTTAGTCCTTGTGGTGAAGTGTTGGCAGTGTGGTTCAAGTCCGTTTGTGAGTCAGACTTCTGAGCTGAAGTAAATCAATTACTCATAAATTGAGATGAGATGGTCGACACCCCTCTCATATCAAATAGTAGAACCATCAAGCTTTTCGTCCCAACTATCAGCAACAAAGTCAATGAGTATTTTTCACACAGCGAAATCACTAACAGTTTATATATCATCGGAATCTATTATTGCATACCTCTTTAACGCTCTGTGCATGCAATCACAGCAAACAATAAGCAAATACATAGAGCGATAGAAAGCAGCATGTATAAAATCAGTAATTGGCATTGTTGAATTCTTGATGATTCTCACTCAATGTAATGCCTGTGCTGCAGTGAGCAACATTTTGTTTTTGTTCCTGCTTCAGTCCACATGAGTATTATCATTTTGCCCTTAGTTAAAATGAAAAATGTATTTTTCTTCCTACCTGAAATGATCTCGAAGAGAAATTTCCCTCCTTCATCGCCGCTGGTTGGATGTTCTGTAACTTTGTTTCCAGGTAAGAAAATGGCTCCCTGTGGAGAAACAACATTGACAGTTTAGAATAAGGGTATTTTTGATAAAACATTTAGGATTAAATGCTGACTTAACATCTTCGGCATTATACATCTGTTCAGTTAAGTATATATTCCCTTTACTTTACACTTATTCATCCTTATTGTTTAAAGGGGACCTATCATGCAAAATGCACTTTTTAATGTCTTTTATACATAAATATGTGTCCACGGTGTGTCAGGGAACTCACAAAGTGTCAGAAAACAAAACCCTCTCTCTTTTCCTCCGTACCCACATCTCTAAAAAAAAGAAAAGAAACGGGGGTGCAAACGAGCAGATTCAGGATTTTGGCTCCTATGACGTCATTGGCGGCATGTGGCACACGTGACACGTCCCAACCTATCGTCTCCGGCACACGTGACACGTCCCAACCTATCGTCTCCGGCACACGTGACACGTCGCAACCTATCGTCTCCGGCACACGTGACACGTCCCAACCTATCGTCTCCGTATACAGTCGTCTAGCTGAATCCCCTCTCGCAGCTGTGTGTATTCAGCAAGATGTCTGCAGGAGGCACTTAGAGTAAAGTTGTTATATAATACATATAATGGCACTGTTCTAGCGGTAAACACTTAAGAAAGAACATGTCAAGCTATGTGCTGTATCAGAAACAATGCGTGGCGTGTTTTGGGAGTAATGTGGTCTGTGTTTCCATTAGCAAGCATGCTAACACTCAGAGCTAATGCTGTAGGCTACTGGAGAAAATATGTGTAACGCAGTGGCGTTCAAAACGCACAATGACAGCGACCCTCTACCACACAAAACAACACCATTTATATAAACACCTATCATGACAGGGCACCCACAGCCAAGAAACAATTAAAAATGAATTAAGTCGGCACGGCGGCCCACATTGAAAATGACTTAGGCCTACCTTTGATGATCAAATCACTTAAACACAAAGTCCATCCTTTTGGATGAAGTACTTGATGGCGGGTCATTCAGATGATCCTTTGCCACTCCAGTTTATCATTGTAACTCAATCTTGAAAATAACTCGGTTAATAATTTCGCAACGATGTCCTCACTATCACTGAAGTGAGCCATCATGAACGAACTTATGCTAATCATACATCTGTCCGGCAGTGGCTCAGTCAGTAGGGGCTTGGACTGTGAGCCGTAGGGTCGCCGGTTCAGACCTAAATATGGAGTGTGGACTGCTACTCGGAGAGGTCCCAGTTCACCTCCTGCCCTGCCGTGGTGCCCTTGAGCAAGGCACCGGACGCGCAGTGCTTATTTGAATCATAGTTGCATTTAATTTGTAATGGGTTTTTTCAGATGTTACTGCACATCTGCCATTTGATATAACAGTTCACTCTGCAAGACCTTTCCATCTGCACTCCTGAGCTCAGCAGCTCACCAAATCTCATGTACCATAACAGGAGAAATATGTTTAAATCCCTGACATATTAGTCAAACTAGTTTGCATCATCATATCCAGTATTTCAACATATTTGCCAGTCAAAAGGTTGTACCCAAGTCCCCATGGGCGGGTCTGGATGATGGAGCTGAGCTGTTATAAAATGTGGCAAAGTGGCAGCATTATAGTGGATCACCATCTCTGCCTCAGCTCTGTCCACAATGATACATAATCTGGGTGACACTGGAGGTCAAATCATCTCTGCTTTAAATAGCAGGAGACTCAGCATCAGCTTTTTCCAGACTGTACCTCTCAGTGACCTTACTGTGGAGACTTTCTGTAGGTGAGAGAGGCAGATTTACAGCATGTGTCTGCACAAGAGACTGACACACTCACTGACTGGACCAGAGATTAGATATTTACCTCTAATATATCTGTACTCAGAAAGGCCACAGGTAGTATGTGAAAATAGTGTGTAATTTTTATATTTTATAACATTGTATCGGCAAAACGGTCAGTCTATAAGTTAAAAGTAATGTTGAATTGCTATATAATTCAACAAATCATTAGATGCAACCCTTAAGAATTACATATATTTTAACTACGTACACCACACGCTTAGCAATTTAGTAACTGCCCGGTAAATCACAAGTACCTCCATGTGGTAATTCTATCGGTACAACAAAGAAGTTACTTAAACTAGGGAGTAACTATTATGCAGTTAATTATTCTTCACAGATACAATGAGAAACTATAAACAAGGATTACAACACAACCAGCTGCAGGTTGACCCATTATGCATTCAAACAGTGACTCTTTACTTGATGAACATTGTTACATCCGTGCCACAATGCAGCATCTGACAGTCATTAGAGTGCCCTTCATCTGGTTAACGCAGACAAGATGTGCATTGGTGACAGCAACAGTATTAAGGAGCCAAACACATTAACAGGATCTGAGGGGAGTCCGTTTCCTTCCTGCAGAGAGAGAGCTCTTTAATGAGCCATAACTGTGACAACCAGGACGTGGAAACCCTACCTGAGGCCCAGATGAAGCTCTTTAAAAGGGTTATAAAGATGGGACAGACATGCTCACGATTGGAGGAATGAGTGTTTGATGTGGTTGTCCGCAAGGGAATCTGCTCAGCTTCAGTGTCATGGGATTAAAAACTTCTCTAAGAACTTCTTTTTTTTTTCTTCGAACACAGATCTTTTTGTCATGCACATTGTACTGGATCCAAGGAAACAAGAGATGACTTCAATGGTTCGTGTGTGGGTGAGATAGATTAAAACATGTATGCCTTATGGGTTGTGTATATTATTAGAAAGAAGAAAAGGACCTGTGTAGTTGCTCCATATTCCGAAGCCACAAAACCACTGATATTCCCTCCCCTCTGTTTCTAAGCCACAGCCACACTTTCCATACTGACATCCTCCCTGGTGGCCTGTTGTTTGCTGCAGACAAACCCCACCACAGACAGCGTAATATTTACAAAGCAAAGAGTAGCCTGGCCCAACCCAACATGGCAAGGGAACCCAACTTATTTTGGGGTTTTCTCTGCCATTTTAATAGTCGTTAACAAGGATGAGGTCATTTTTTGGAAACAGTGTAATGACATAAGCCCACTTATCTTTTGTTCTCAACTAAAAAGCTCTGCACACACATATGGGACAGAAGAGGCTCAGAGGAATCTGTTTGAGGGAAGCGACAGCAGGAAGCTCAGGTCCAAATTAAATCAAATTCAGTGTGTTTTCTCAGACTGCAAGCAAATACCATAATACTGATTGTATTGTGATTCAAGCACTTCCAGTTTTTTGACCACTGCAGCTATTAAATCCAAATGTGACGTCCATTTTGGTCATAAACAAGACATTTTACCCCTGTGAACTTTCACGTTTGTTTGGAGTTTATTGACAGTTAAAGGGTGAATGGAATGGTGTGCCTCATTGTTACTGCAGCCTTAGACATTTGATTAATTACCACTAGGTCAGATTGGCTTTTCCAATAAAATAATAGGAATACTCAGTAGCAGCTTGTACACCATGACATATGGAATCCACTGTTTATATCTTTATATGTTCTGATGAGTCAATGGAAATAAATGGTGTCCTCTGCCCTTTAAAGAAGGTAGGGCTTTCTCATCCAGCCGACAGAGAACGGCTAACTTTGTGCTGAGAGGCTATTAAACAGTAGGTTTTTATTTATTTTTCCGCTGAAAACAGCTGCACCAGAAACTGATACTATCAGGACAGTGAGTATGAACCAAACCACTACAATTGTAGATAAGTAGCTCTACACGATGAGTTACTTGTTTTTGAGCCTTCACATATCAGCAAGTAGTCATGTGACCTGGTGTTAATGAAAATAAAGATTCTAGACAATTTACGGATAAAAATAATTATGCCACCATATTCTGTTCTGGTTCAGAGATAATATTAGTTTGTTGAATAATAATGATTTGGTTTGATGGTGAAGGAAAAAGGACATGTGGCACGAAAATGAAATACAGATCAATATATTGTGGAGCAGAAATTGATTCCAGGCTTCAAACAGACAAATGCTCACACTGAAGTCAATTAAGCAGAAGTTATTGGTGCAACAGGTCATTTAAGTGCTCATTAAACCTTGGCAAGTTGTTCAGAGGTCCTTTTTTTCCAATAATGACTGCTCTCCAGCCTCAGTGACCTTGCAGACAGGAAGTCAAACTCCCTGGGAGACCTGGAGACATTCTCTATATGTTTCTGAAAGCGTGTAAGTGCATAAGTCTGTCTGTGTTTATTCTTTTCAATAGTCAAGTCTGTACTTTTGCCCTAAAGACCTGTCTATCCATGTGGCAAAGATTTACAAACGGTAGTTTTGCCCTTATCGCTCCACTGAGTCCATCAATCCAATAAATGTCATCATTATTTCACAGTTATAAAACAGGTAGCTCTGTTCAAAAGAGTACAATACCCAGTGAACCCAAAGCTGCGCCTTCATAACACTCACTGAAATATTAATATGCCTGTCAAACGCAGGGTGGAAAAAAGTAAGCATTTCTACATTAATCTTTATTTATCTGGTGGATTAACTGTGCGTGATTGATGTGGGATATTAGAAATGATAAACCAAGAGGAGAGGATACTTAATAGACTAAAATTAGAGAGAGGGGAATTGGAAAAAAATGGGAAAATGACAAAACAAGGATGTATCTTTTAGACAAGACAAGTATGTGAAATGTTTGCTAAAATCAGTGAGAGGCAGCAAGGATTTTTCTTTAAAACAGTGACCAAAGAAGAATGAACAGGTACTGTAATGCACATTCGTTTCTATGTGTTTTTCTAATGTGAAATAGATTAATGATCATACTTAGGCTTTAATGCAGGCAGAATTTATGAAAAACACACAATTTCTGGCACCAAATACAACATTCTAACAAATAATGTGCAAAAAAAGCTGGGAGCTATAGGCAGACAATAAAGAAAAGCATGGTCTGACTCACAAAGCAAATCCATCAAAAAACGACAAGATCCCTAAGACAGAATAAAACAACAAGACAGTACAGCGATTTATGTGCGAGCAGCTGGAAAACGCACAGTGTCCCGTCACTGCTGCTATTGT